CAGATCCTGTGTCTCCCTCTCTCTCTGCCCCTCCCCCGCTCACCCTCTGTCTCTGTCTCTCAAAAATTTTAAAAAACATTAAAAAAAGGTAACTATGTGAAGTGATGGCTATGTTAGCTTGATTAATTAGCTTGCTTGCGGTGATTATTTCACCATATATATGTCAAAATGCCAAATTGTACACCTTAAATATATACAATTTTTATTTATCAATTCTACTTAGTAAAGCTGGAAACAAATTCTGAAGGGTGAGAAAAGCACACAGTAGCTGTGCTGTAAAGCAGTGATTTCAATAAACATGCTGCATAAATGTAATATAGATTAGAAACAATTCAGATCTTGGTTCCCAGACAGCTAGTGTGCCTTTGTTTCCCCCACGAGTGGCCCGCAGTTAGCAGGAGGTATATGCATTATTCAGAATTCCAAAGAACGGAAGGTGCTGTAGATTAGCACCAAATGCAGATAATTCAGGCTCAAGTAACAATAAATCATCACATGAATCCCATGCCAAAAATGAAAATTAACTATCCTGGGTGGAGGGCAGTTTACCATTAGCAAAGTGTCCCAGCCCCGCATGTGGCCCATACAGGAGAGTCTGATAACTGGCTTACCTAGCTGGGCAGAGGGAAAAGGAGGAAATACCTAAAAGCATGTGAACTTTCTCTTTTCCACAGTACCTGTCCCTAACTCCTCCCTCCCCACCCAGACTGTAGAGTATTGGCAGGTTACATAAGTCACACCACTGCCTTCTTCCTTTAAAAGCTGACACTCGCGGGGTGCCTGGGTGGTTTAGTTGATTAAGCATCTGATGCTTGATTTCAGCTCAGGTCACGAGTTCATGGTTTGTGGGTTCGAGCCCCACATCAGGTTTTGCGCTGACAATGCAGAGCCTGTTTGGGATTCCCTCTCTCTCCCCCTTTCTCTGCCTATCCCCCACGAGCACACAGGCATGCTTACCTTCTCTCAAAATAAATAAACAAACTTAAAAAAAAAAAAGCTGGGGGGCGCCTGGGTGGCTCAGTCGGTTAAGTGTCTGACTTCTGCTCAGGTCATGATCTCCCGGTTCCTGGGTTCGAGCCCCGCATTGAGCTCTGTGCTGACAGCCAGCTCAGAGCCTAGAGGCTGTTTCAGATTCTGTGTCTCCCTCTCTCTCTGCCCGTCTCTTGCTCACACTGTCTCTCTCTCTCTCTCAGAAATAAATAAAACATTTAAAAAAATTTGTTAAAGCTGGCACTCTATATCAAACTCTTTTTTAAGCAAATAGCTTAAAAGTGAATTAAGATGGCACCCAGAGGGGTGCCTAGCTGGCTCAGTTGGTAGAGCATGCAACTCTTAACCTTGGGGTCATGAGTTCAAGCCCCACATTCAGTGCCAAGCCTACTTAAATTAAAAAAAAAAAAATGATGGCACCCGGAGGGGAAGGCATATTCATGGTGGTTCTAGGGACTGTAGCTCCAGAAGTTACCATTTGCAAACATCATTGCAATGTGGTTTTAGGATGCAGACTGAACCATGAATCAATCTTGAGAGAAGTGTGATTTTTGGTTACTATGGTAACTTACTGGATGACTTCTAACTCTCTGCAGTTATCACAGAACCAGCAAACAAAAGAGAAAGGAAAAAAAACATCTGAGAACAAAGAGGCCACTTTCCAGTGCCACACCTCCCGCAGGAGCTCAGTGAATATTCAGTTTAACTATAAAGTAAGGAAAAAGGATTTAATAACTTTAAAAAATATCACTCTATTTTCTACCCACTTGGCAATACAATTAGTGATTAGGTTTTGGTGTGCCAACTAAAGTCTTGCTGTCTACTCTCCTCTGTATATGGGGACATTGGTTTTAACTAATTATTTTTATTTTTTTTAACATTTATTTATTTTTGAGAGAGAGAGAGACAGAGTGCAAGCGGTGGAGGGGCAGAGAGAGAGGGAGACACAGAACCTGAAGCAGGCTCCATGCTCTGAAGCTGTCAGCACAGTGCCTGACCGGGGCTCAAACCCACAAACCAGGAGATCGTGACCTGAGCCGAAGTCAGATGCTTAATCGACTCAGCCACCCAGGTGTCCCATGATGTTTGTTTTTGAAATGCTCAAATATGTTGTGAGAGAACAGATTCATGAAAAATTATAAATAATAAGTCTACAGTTTAATTAAGCAAGGTAACAGGATCACATTAAAAATGCCAGTCAAGGGTTCCTGGGTGGCTCAGTCTGTTAAGCACCAGACTTTTGATTTAGGCTCAGGTCATGATCTCGAAGTTCATGGGATTGAGCCCTAAGTCAGGCTCCATGTGCTGATGGTGTGGAGATTGCTTGGGATTCTCTCCATCCCTCTCTCTCCGCCCCCCCCATCATGCTGCCCCCCCAAAATAAATAAACTTAAAAAAATGCCAGTCAAGGGGTGCGTGGTTGGCTCAGTCGGTAGAGCATGCAATTCTTGATCTCAGGGGTCGTGAGTTTGAGCCTACATTGGGTGTGGAGCCCACTAAAAAAATTAGTAAATAAAATAAAATATATATTTTTAGGGGCGCCTGGGTGGCTCAGTCGGTTAACCATCTAACTTCGGCTCAGGTCATGATCTCGCGGTTCGTGGGTTCCAACCCTGCGCCGGGCTCTGCGCTGACAGCTCAGAGCCTGGAGCCTGCTTCTAATGCTGTGTCTCCCTCTCTCTCTGACCCTCCCCTGTTCACTCTGTCTCTCTCTCAGAAATAAATAAAAAACATTAAAAAATATTTTTAATTAAAATAAAATATATATTTTTTAAAAAGCTAGTCAACCTGTGTGTTTGGATCAGATTCTAAATTTGATCTTTTGACCACACCTTACAATCACTAGAAATATTGACTGCGGAGTATGTAGCCATCTTTTTAATAGGAAGAGAACCATATTTTCAAAGAGTTGGCTCTTTCTGCCCATACCTAAACTGAACAAGAAAGCTCTGGCTTATTACTCATTTGACCTGCTAACTTCAAAGTGTATGTGTTGCTCCGAGGGACATCATTAGGACAATTGGTGAACGTGGAATAGTAATTACATTAAATATTGTATCTATATTAAGTCTACCTAATTTGATAACAGTGCTATGGTAATGTAAGGCAATGTTCTTGTTTTGGGGAAATAAATCTCAATACTCGGGAGTAACGTATTCATTTATATAATGTGTGTTCACTGTTTTCAAATGATTCAGGGAAACTGTATATATGGAGAAAGAATGGTAAAGCAAATGTGGCAACTCTTTGTAGATGAAACAATTCCAGAAACTGCCTACCTCCCCATTTCTTATACGTGAGAAAAATAATTCCCCAAGTCAGCTAGTTTGCATTTTGCAGCTGCAAAGTGTTCCTAATGGATAATTCAGTCACCTCCAATTCATTTTCTACAAGCAGAGAGTCACACTATGAAACTGACACTCTTGAAAGACAGAAACTTACAAGTCACTTAACTATTTGGTTAAGTGACTGAGTGGCTCAGTCCGTTGAGCGTCTGACTTCGGCTCAGGTTATGCATGATCTCATAGTTCCTGGATTCCAGCCCTGCGTTGGGCTCTGTGCTGACAGCTCAGATCCTGAAGCCTGCTTAGGATTCTGGGTTTCCCTCTGTCTTTGTCCCTCTTCTGCACGCTCTCTGTGTCTCTCTCAAAATAAATAAACATTAAAAAAAATTTTAATGTTTAAAAAATAAAATAAAAGAGACCATAATATAGGAGCACCTGGCTGGCTCAGTCAGTAGAGCATGTGACTCTTACTCTCTGGGTCATGAGTTCAAGCCCCATGTTTGGGTGCAGAGATTTCTAAAACAAATGAATAAATAAGAATGTTAAAAAAAAGAGAGACAGGGGCGCCAGGGTGGTTCAGTCGGTTAAGCTTCTGACTTTGGCTCAGGTCACGATCTCATGGTTACTGGGTTCGAGCCCCGCGTCGGCTCTGTGCTGACTGCCAGCTCAGAGCCTGGAGCCTGTTTCAGATTTTGTATCTCCCTCTCTCTCTGACCCTCCCCTGCTCACACTGACTCTCTCCCTCTCTCTCAGAAATAAATAAAACATTAAAAATTTAAAAAAAGGAGACTAAACATAAAGCACTTAGCACAGTAGGTGGCAAAAGGGGAAGTATTAAACATACGTTTACCATTTATTAGTACCTTTATTTTACTTGTAAACAGTTACAGAAATGCAAGTGGAAGTTAAAAGGATTTTAACCCATCTGATTCTCCAATTTTCTGCCTTTTTCTATTTTTTTTTTTAAATGATCTCCCCATTCAAGAGGGGGAGCAGGAAATCCCCATGACAGTGGCTGAGCTTAAAGGCCAGGAGACCCCTGCTGTGATTTTCGCCCTGGACCGTTCTCACCCCTTCCCTACCAACGCCTGGCTAAGCGAGCTGCTCAGTAGGTACTTGCTGAATTAACGAAAGACTAGGTTTAGTTTTATTGTTGTTTATTTATTTTATTTATTTTTGAGAGCGAGAGAGCGAGCACGCAAGCACGAGGGGGAGGAGCAGAGAGGAGGAGACACAGAATCACAAACAGGCTCCAGGCTCTGAGCTGTCAGCACAGAGCCCGCCGCGGGGCTCGAACCTGAGCCACCCAGGCGCCCCAGGGACTAGGTTTCTAGCCTGGGTTAGCTGCATCTTTCTGGGTTGGGTAGAACTTTCACCGCTCGGCTCCAGTGCCGCACCTGCAGACCCAGAAGACGCTGTTCAGGTCCTGTTCAGGGAAACGACTACGTCTTCCCTTCCCAAACGCAAACTGCCAAGGGCTGTCGCCCCCTAACCACTGCGACTTCAAGGGTCCCCGCCTCCACTCCCCACACTGCAGCGGGCTCTTCTCTCCACAGCTCAGGCCACCGCCACATTTTCGTCGCCCCCGCGCGGCGGAGGCCGGAGCGCGCCGCACTTCGCGGCGAACTACAACTCCCACAATCCCAGTCGGCTGAACCGCCCCCCGCTGGAGGTGGGAGCGGAGGCGGAGCGGATCACCCCGAGGCGGGGCGGAGCCTTCCGAAACGCCCTGCCGGTGTCCTAAAGGGTACAGATCGTATTAGAACCCTAAAGCGATTCCTGGGTTTCCTGTTAAATAGGACCTCTGCCCTCCGTCCCCACTGTGGTCCCCTCCGTGTAAGGCGGCAGATGGTCTAGTCCAGCGGAGACACTCCCCACAATGGGCCGCAGCGAGACCCGGGGGAGAGCAAAGGGCAGGCCGCGCACGCATGCGCAGAGGCGCAGCATGGGGGCGGGAGCCGCCAAGCCCCTTCCCCGCCGCGGTGAAGGTGAGTAGGGGGCGGGGTGGGGCTTGTCCCGCGTCAAGACCGACCACTGCCCCGCAGTGGCCACCGTTGGATCAGCCGCTACCATCTCCACTAACTCTCAAAGCCGTTGACCCCAACTGTCCAGAATATTAGGGTCCCCAGGAGCTCAGTTTTAGCGTTTGTACATCAGTATACCACTTTCAATTAAAACACTTTCAGCATTTCATTGCTATTGTCTAGGGATACGTTTTTCTTTTCTGCTAGACCATGCATTGGAAAAATAACTAGCGTGTGAGGAGGGCCCACCTTTCATCTTGGTAGCAGACAGCTCCTTCTTGATAAGGGATAGAGCTTAAAGGCTTTTGGACACTTGATTCTATTCAATTTCATGTCAGATTAGGTACATATTTTGTCATGCTCTCTTTTTCATGTGTGTATGTCTTCTCATGAGAAGACTCCTTGAGATGAAGAGAGTGATACACTAAAGATATAGTGGAGGTGATGACGTTTATAATCTGCTAGGAATACAGAGAATTAAGCAATCATCTTATTGTGCCTTATCCCTAACCATTTTCCTTACACCTTGCTGTGTGACTTGGTTATGTTGCTTCACCTTCTGGGCCTACCTTTTCTCATAAAATGAGGAGATTGGATTAGATCTCTAAGAATTTGCCAGCTCTGAAATTCTGTGATTAGTGAGTGAGGAGTAGAATCCAGATGATATCACAGTATGGTAATGCTAAACATCATCAACTTCCATTTCTCTGCTGACACAAGAGAAACATAGCTGTAAGAATGTGGCGGCGGCAGCATTAGAAAGAACTGCCCTTTATTGTACCTGTAATCTCTTCCTTATTGCTGAAAATATGAGATTTGCTGGTAATACAGCTTTCTTCACTCTTTGTTGTCTGTTTGTAGATCATTGCTAGGAAGAACTCTGGGTACAATTATGAACACAGTGTATGTGATAATGGCTCACATCTTAAGATCTCACCCGATAAATGCTTCCATGGTACCTAATGGAATGAAAATGCTTCCGTATCTTGGTGTCATTAGAAATAGAATGATGTCAACACATAAATCCAAAAAGAAGATGAGAGAATATTACAGGCTACTGAATCTGGATGAAGGATGCTCTGCAGATGATGTCAGGGAATCTTTTCATAAGCTTGCCAAGCAATACCACCCAGACGGTGGCTCTAATACAGCAGATTCTGCAACATTTATAAGGATCGAAGAAGCTTATAGGAAGGTGCTTTCCCATGTGTTAGAACAAGCAAATGCCAGACAGAATAAAGTTGAAGAAGCAGAGGAAGAGGAAGAAAAGTTCAAATATAAAACACCCCAACACCGGCATTATTTAAGTTTCGAAGGTATTGGTTTTGGAAGTCCAAGTCAACGAGAGAAGCAATATAGGCAATTTAGAGCAGACCGCGCAACTGAGCAAGTGATGGAGTATCAGAAGCAGAAGCTACAAAGCCAGTATTTCATTGATAGCATAATTGTGAAAGATGTAAGGCAGAGTAAAGAACAAAAAATAACTCAGGCTATCGAGCGTTTAGTAGAGGATCTCATTCAGGAATCAATGGCAAAAGGAGACTTTGACAATCTCAGTGGGAAGGGAAAACCTCTAAAGAAATATTCTGGCTGTTCATATATTGATCCCATGACTCACAACCTGAACAGAATACTGATAGATAATGGATACCAACCGGAGTGGATCCTCATGCAGAAGGAAATAAAGGATACTATTGATCAGCTCAGAGAGGCAATTTTAGTGTCAAGGAAAAAACTCGGGAATCCAATGACACCAACTGAGCAGAAACAGTGGAACCAAGTTTGTGAGCAGTTTCAAGAAAACATCAGGAAACTAAACAAGCGAATTAATGATTTTAATCTAATTGTTCCCCTCCTGAGCAGACAAAAAGTCCATTTTGATGCACAGAAAGAAATTTCCAGAGCCCAGGGAATATACGAGACCCTTATAAAAACACAAGAAGTCACAGATAAAAACCCAAACAACACTGATCAGGGAGAAGGGGAGAAAACACCTCGAGTCAAGACAGGTTTTTTTAACTGGATGAGTGTGTGGAAATTTATTAAAATATGACCATTTAAATATTCATAGTACTACCCCAAATCATTTTCAGTTGTACTGATGTCACACATAGAAGCTGAGATTTATTGCTGCAACACAAGAGTTTGAAAACTGTATGCCTCTGTACTTTTCGCAAAACTAATCACATCTCCAGTGATGTATAAGTGAGAAAGCTATGAGAAACTGAGAGACATGTTCAACCAGCTTCGCTCTGAGGATATTGCAAGAAAAGAACTTCTGAGAAAACAATTTAATCCATTTCAGAGTTTAAAGGTCAGTCCATAGGTGAAATGAATTAGGATAAGGACTCAGACAGGGAATCATAAACGGTAGTCCAAAAGTCGTAGTGCAGTTTTAAGCTCTAGTAACTTAACAGTTCCTGTTGCCATCTTTACAGATACTTAAACAACAATGGGAAAAAAAAAAAACAACCCTAAAGAGTATGATAAAAAGTCACAAAACTAAGGAAGTATGGACTGTAGATAAGCAAACCTAAAAAATGAGGAATGTTTTTTGCAAGCTTGCTGCATTTAGACACCCGTGGTTATTAAAGTTTAAAATTGTTCTAAGACTTTTGGGGTACTCTCTACGTGGATGGAAATGTTATGATCAGGAAATTAGCCCGATGGAGTTATTGTACTCTTCCTTTTTTATAAAGACCTTCCCTGTGGGTATTGAATAAAACACACACACACACACACACACACACACACACTCACACACTCACACACACACACTATCTGGGTTGTACTTTTTTCCTTCCCAACTTCATTATCTTGGCTACAGAGAAATCTATCAGCCTAGATAATTGATATAGCTGTTCTGGGGAGCCTGGGTGGCTTAGTCGGTTGAGCGTCCGACTTTCGCTTAGGTCATGATCTCGCGGTTCGTGGGTTCGAGCCCCGCATCGGGCTCTGTGCTGACTGCCAGCTCAGAGCCTGGAGCCTGTTTCAGTCTGTGACTCCCTCTCTCTCTGACCCTCCTCTGCTCACGCTCTCTCTCTCTCTCTCTCTCCTAGAAATAAATAAAAAAAAAATATTTAAAAAAAAAATTGATATAGCTGTTCTAGAAGTAAATGTCAGTGGCCACTTGAAAGAGTTTGGGTGTATTTTCTGCCCTTTTGGAGATTAAAAAAAAAGTCCTTGGGTTCGACGGAAACTTAAGATTTCACTTCTGGCTTCCTCTCTAATCAGAGATGGAAATGTTAGGTTTATGTAAACCAGTCTGAAGCCTGTCTTGGTCATGTATCAGATTCCCCAGAAGCTTTTTCCATACGAGAATCGCAATTTAGGGATCCAATTTCCTGTCTTAGGAACCCTTTCATAAACAAAAAGATGTCTGAATTTTGTGCCACTTTGCACTTTTGGCAAATGACAAAGATTAACATGAGATTGTTCTGTCCACTTTCAGAAAATCTGACTTTTTTGGGTTTGTGTAATTGCTTTAGCCACAGAATTGGGCAACTAGAAGGATACAGAGGGTGGTCAAACGGAGCAGATCTTTTTCCTTATTTAGAGTGCTATTTATGGATGTGGTTCAGAAATGGCACTTGCCCCTCTGATCTTGAAAGAACAAGTTATTTTGTAAAGTGTGTGATAGTTAAGTAAACCTACATCTTCAAAAGGAAATTTTAGGACTTTCTGTTTACATGATGGGTTAATTAATTGGTATAATATTTGATTATAGACTAAGTATGTGGCTTCTATAATGATTCCATTACTCTAAACAAAACTGTGGAAAGTATGAAATGTAGCTATGTAATAAGAACTATGGTTATAAAACATTTTAGAAGGTTATGGTCCTTGAATTTCATTAAGAATGGGAATTAGATGTATGATACCTAGTTGAATTGTAGCAACATATGTAAAGGAAACCATTTTCACTATTGGATCGTGGGATGGTAAAGTTATCAGAAAACTCTAGTAAATCCTTAATTTCAGCACAGGACACTTTATGTTTGTAAATATTGTCTATATTAATAAGGTTAATAGTTATTTTTAATGATTATCTAATGGCTCATTGTTACATAAACAATAATAACTGTATTTTTGAATGACCACCTGAATATTTTTTAACCTTTAAAAAAGTTATCTTTAATGTTTTTATTATTTTTGAAGGAGAGAGAAAGAGTGTGAGTGAGGAAAGGGCAGAGAGAAGGGGAGACACAGAATCTGAAGCAGGCTCTAGGCTCTGAGTTGTCAGCCCATCAAACTCCCGATGCGGGGCTCGAACTCACGAATTATGAGGTCATGACCTCAGCCAAAGTCGGGCACTTCACCGACTAGGACACCCAGGCACCCCTATTTTTTAACTTTTTGATTGTTGATATAAAAACTGTGACAGAGGGGTACCTGGCTGGCTCAGTCAGTTGAGCACCAGACTCTTGCTTGATCTCAGCTCAGGTCATGATCTCACGGTTCGTGAGATGGAGCCTCATGTAGGGCTCTGTACTGACAGTGCAAAGGCAGCCTTGACCTTTTCCATCAGTGTTTCACCTTCTAACTTTGCCAGCTTCGCAAGTGTAGCAGTAAGTTACTGAGATTTCTGAACTCATTAATAAGCACATATCAAACTCTACTTGATCCCAAGCCTTTCCAGGGCTCCTTTCTTCAGACTGTAGGACCAGGACCCTGTCCCAACACCCTGAGGATAGAGCCTCACATCCCAGGGGCTTTTGGCTCCCAGCTGTGTGAAATGGCTTGTGCCCTTGTTATGTATGCCTGAGGCTTACCTGGCACCTTGGGGCTATAGTTTTCTTCCTCGATAGAACAATGCATTACTATTCATTTTCCTCACAGAGCCACCAGAACACAACTCTGCTCTTGGGGGGCCAGGGGATGGTGAGGGGTCTCCCAGAGATGGGAATCCCCCGTGACTTTATATGACTGGGACCTACTACTTTCTGACATACTTCTCTGCTGCCAGTTGCTTGGGTCCCCAACCCCGGGCCTCAGCTATCATCTGGGACATCCTCAGTACCTCTCCGGCACCACTGACGCTGATTTGCCTGTTCCTTCAAGTGTTGCGTTTCCTTTTCGACAATGTTTTGTTCATTTGGCATACACTTATTGAGGTCCTGAAAGGGAATCTACCATTCCACTATCTGGATGATCAGAAATCAGTAACTAAGACAAATGAACCCCTCAGCCCTGAATGTAACCCTCAGATACTCATTTTGCTTGGTGTTACTGCTGCCCCCTCCCCGACCCCACCCTGGCTGCAGGCAGGGGACCCTGGCCTCACTCTCCTCCCTGGCGTAAGAGTAGACCCACAAATGTTGCGTAATACTTCTTGCCCAGCTGAGACCAGACTGGAACATCAAAATACACCTTTCCTCAAGGCTTGGGATGACATAAGCAGAGGGAAGGCAGTTCCTAGGACAGGATACCCTGGGCTGTGACCCTCCCAGTTAGTCTCTGAGCCCTGTCCCCAGCCTGCTGTAGAGTGGCTCCTCAGGGACCCTAAGCATGCCTCCACTCCCCCCTGTCTGGACTTAGAAACTAAGGACTAAGGGATTTGCTTTCCTGCCAAGACCAATTTCAGAAGTCTGGCTTCCTCTTAGAGGGCCCACGTCTTCCCGATGTTGCACAATGAATTTAGCCTCAGTCCTTCATCATGACCCAGAGTTTACCTTCTGGGTCTATACTTGGAGAGCTACATAACTATCCTGGGTTAGTGCAAGGAAAAAAAGAAAAAAAAAACAAGTAAAAAGATGAGAGTTAATGGTCCCCATTAATGGTTATTTATGACACAGTGGGTATACTCTGTCCTTGAGGTAATAACTATCCTTTGAGACCCCCTATGACCCTAAACCGTGCCTTCAGAATGACAAATGTTGTCCTACACACCAGGATAAGGGCCACTGTCTTCATCACTTTGTAGCCTTTTTACAATAATCGCTCAATTCTGCGTCTATACTGCCCACTTGCCTGCTTCCTCGTTAGAAAAAGCCCTAAGTCCTTGGACTCGTGGCCGCACATGTAAAGTTCCGTGTTAACTCTATGCGGTCCCGGCTGGTAGTAAAGACTCTAAATTTAGCTTCAGTAGTCTCGGTGGGTCTCTGTGTCTCTCGGCATAACACCAAGATGGTTGCTCTATGCCACTGTCCCCCAGTCCCTCTCCATGACAGATCCTGAGTGAGAGTCTCAACAGGACACGTACATCAAATGAGCTTAACATTGTTGTAAGAGAGGACTACAGTTGTAGGGAGGGGCCTTCCTGGTGTACCTTGAGGACCTTCTAGCAAGAAGCACGTGATCCAGTGGTGACTCAGCTTCAGAACTTAAGAGCTGGGCCTCTGTGGTCTCCGTGGCTTCACTTCTGTGGGTAGACCTGACTCCATGGCCATGGCCTCTCAGCTTTTCCAATTAGCTGTAGTTTATCCCATGATTTGCCCAGTTGAGCTCCAGGCTTATCCGTGAGACTTGTTTAAAAGATGCGGTGGACTTTCTGGCAATAAATAGCCATTCTTGCCAAATTGAGCGGTGGCCTTACATTAGCAAGAATTCACAAAGTGGAGAAAATTAGGTAAAAGCAAGTGCACATTCACCTTCCAAATGACCTGTATTGATGGTGGCATGTGTCATTCATCTAGGGAGGATGTGGTTCCTAGCACAGGAAGTCAGACCTCGGAAGCTGATGTCGGCAGGAGAGAAGATCCCTAATTCTCTTAAATACGCTCAGGAGTGGGCATGTCGCCCAGGCCCTGCCAAGACCTGTCCTTGGGAGACATGGTTCAGGATGACGCACAGGACAAAACAGGCCTGCTCTCTGTAGGTGTTCCATTTAGCTGGTGCCGGAAGGCAGTGGCTGCTAGATGGACCCAGAAGTGGCGTCAGTGTCACTGGTGGTGACAGTCAAGTTCCTGGCTTACTGTAGTCATGGTTGTGGCCACAGCAGCTCTGGTGTTTTCCTCAGCAGGTCAGTTCTTCAGGGTTGTTTTAGTTACTGTTCCTGGAAACAACCTTGAGCCACTTTCTTTGGCCCTCCCGAAAGTTCTAGAGTCCTTTAATAAATCCCTTTTCTGCTTAACCTAGCTAGACTAGAGGTTGCCACTTGCAGCTAAGCACTGTGACTGAAACAGATGGGATCATGAGAATCTCATGGCTTTGGGATACACGGGAACTATCTGTTGGATTGTGGCACCGGGGGCACGTGGACTCCCATTCAACTCTCAGCTCTGCCACTTGGTAGGTGTGTGGTCTTGGGCAAATTACCAAACCTCACTGAAACTACCGCTTACCCAGATGTATGGTCATAATGATCACTTCTTGTGAGGAGTCACTGCGATATTAAATGTAAAGAATCCATCACGGTTACTGACACATGATGAGCACTCCACTCTAAGTATTAAATTATGTACATTGATATAATAAATAGAATATGTAAATTGATATAATAAATATTTAAATTATGTACATTGATATAAATAATAAATGAATAAATAAATAAAAATTAAAAATAAATAAATTAAATATAATAAATTTTGTACATTAATATAATAAATAAAAATAAATAAACATGATATAAATAAACATGTAAATTGATATGATAAAATAAATAAATAAAT